TGAAACATGCAAGGCCTACAAACTAATGGGTCTCCAGAAGGATGCCAAAGAGAAGGAGATTAAGAAAGGAAATTATTAAAGGAAATAGAACTGCAATAGGCAGCAAGATTAAATATTAAGAATCGAGTGCTAGAAAAGCAGGCGAAAACAAAAATCACGTAGTAGTTTCCGTTACAAAACCCGATTTTAAATATAACAGCAAATATAAACCGTTAAAAAGTTCATTGACGGGGAATTTCTTGGCCGTCAGGTGGGTCTGTGAAAATTTCATCCCTGTGTAGTTGCCATATTTTCGATAAGCTACAAATACAAAACTACGTTCTTGCTTCTTTGCGCTGCTTTTACAGACCAGATACACCCGATAACGATACTGATAAGAAGTGGGTAGAAGCGGCATGTCTATCGAATTTTAATTTAATTTTTCAAGCTAAAAACGTTGGGTAAAACTCGAGAGATCCATATTTGAACCGATATATAATTGTATATCGGCCTGAATCGCATGTATAATGTTGCTGTGACCAGTTGTTAAATTTTGCAATATTTTTCGTTTTTAATAAAACTCATATAATATTAATATTAATTCATTTTATTTATTTATTTAGCTTCTGCGGGTTCCTAGCCTTATGTATTCTATTGGCAGATTGCCAAGTTCTTATTATTCTTTACTTTCAAAGGCTGCTAGGATGATTTCCATAATTGTGGAGTCTTTTTTGACCATTTTGTGTGAAATGTTTTGACATTATATGTGATGTCAAGTTGCCTGAAGAACTTAGTTCTTTATTGCAAAATGTACACTGCGGTAGCGGCAGCGGCAGTTTACAAAAACTTCGGTGGTTCTCAAAAGATTTGAAAATTCCGCTACAATTCTTGCATTTAAATTTTAGGAGCTCAGTTGAGCACGGCGTTATTGTTGTTGTTATTGACATTTCGCTAATTTTGCCTTGGTCCGGCAAATTCCACGATATCTGCATCTGTATCATACGTCGGCTTTTGTTGCAGCCACGAGACTTTAAAGAATTAAAGATGTAATTATAGAAGTTTTCTAATTTTACAATGAAACAAGTCAATGACAGCGTTTAACCTGCGTTGTTGGTGGACTAATTGGTTTTAGGTTTCACCACTAACCATACAGTATATAATGTGAACCAATTGTGAAACCATCGATATTATCGATAGTGCCGTTGCATTTTCACATCGCAAGTTTCAAATCCAGAAAACTTGGGCTTAAAAGTATTTTGAATTTTTATGTACAACCACCACCAATGACCAGTCGTTGTCTACTTACATAAGTGCCAATTAGCTTTGAATATGTTGCAGCTTGCGGGAATTTGAATTTTAATTTAAGAATCGATCAAACCTGTTGCCAAATATTTGCTTATGACGGCCCTCTTCAGGCCTGCGCAGCGTTTCATCACTATATCTCTTACTGCCTTAAATAATTTACTGCACTGAAAGTCACACAATATACAAAACAATAGCCTGACCCTCAGAAATAAACCGAACGAGAGGAAACGTTGTGAGCTGCTGCGGACACCGCAACTCTACATTTATACCCGATACTTAGTCAGTATGGCTCTCCTCCGGCAGACGCCGCTAATATTAAAAGACACGACAAAGAGTGCGTGCGAGAGCGACAGAAAATCGGTCTGAGCGTGACGTCGGGCACTGCGTAGCCACTGCAAATTGATTTGTTCCTTTTGGCTATAAAAATTATCTGATCTGATCCAGATCTAGCAATCTGATAGATTTGGTCACTATCTATGATTCTGCGCTTTTAGTTTTCTCGAATCTGCAATATTGTGGATGCCCCAGATTTTCGTACTTTGCGTGGGCGGAAGGGGGTGTGGCGAAATTTTGACACAAAACGGTCAAGGTCCGATGTCACAGGAGTGTGGATACCAAATTTGGTTTCTCTGGCTTTTATAGTTTCTGAGATCCTTGAACTCATATTTTGCAATTGTCAAAACCGACCATGAAACCTGTGTGTTAGAGAGAGACAGAGCGAGAAAAGAATGAAATTGTTTTCTTGATTCTGGCTATATTAATTATACGATCTGGTCTAGATTTTACACTCTAGAACATATAGTCGTTCTCTACGATCACGCGTTTTCAGTTTTATTGTATCTTTGAATGTGTGGATGCCACAGATTTTCGACCTTTGTGGGGGCGGAAGTGGGCGGGGCAAAGTTTTGAAATATACTTGTAGCAGTGACATAAGTCCGGATATAAAACGTCGTTGCTCTAGCTCTTATAGTCTTTGAGCACTAGGCGCTGATAGGGACGGTCAGACCGACAGACGGACGGACGGACAGACGGACAGGGCTCAATCGACTCGGCTATTGATGCTGATACTCATTTTGATTATCGGGTATAAAAATCCGTCTCATTTGAAACAATTTTCAAACATTTTTGCGGAAACTGTATACCAATGTTGCGTCAACATTTCGAAAGTTGACCAGTGTTGCATACTTTGCATTGATAAGCCACATGCAGGGGGCGTTGTTGTTTGGTATTTACATTTACGAAATTCGCAGCACCACAGCCTAGCTCGAAAAACACATATGTAAAATTACATATGTAAGGAAAATTTAAAGTGCCGAGTTCTGAGAAATTCCGAGTGTAGAAAAATGTAAATGTAAAAGTTAAAAAGGAACAAAGGAAACGGCAGGTTTTGAAGCTAGGTTATGTATGTAGTTGTAATGTTATGTAGTTGTATGTAATTATATATGTACACCCAAATAAAAGCAAAGATGGGGTTTAAATTCATTTATTTTATTCGTAGGTAAATAATAAATAATTCAATAAATATAATAAAATAAATAAATAAACAAAATGAATACAATATATACAATATATATAAATATATAAAATGACTAACTAGTTCACCACTGTGAACTATTTCTGTTGCTGCGAAAAATGTCATATGGAAGCATGAATTTAATGTGCAGTACCAATTTCGGTTGAACGAAGCGGATGTAAATGCTCGATGTTTATTTTATATATTTATTTGATGTCAGGAACCGCTTACAGAGCCAAGTTCGACATAAGATCTAATAGTACTAGCTGCCAGGACCATCAACTGAGTGGTTTAAATATATGTCATATACATAATATAGCCAATATTATGTATAATGTTTACTGATATTTGTTGGTTGTCTAAATTTTATTGAGTAATAGCCTTGTTTTAGCGATTAGTCATGTCATGAGTGTCAATTACAAACAGAACCGTTTATCTCCGTTCCAATTGTCTTTGTTGACAGACACACTCAAATAGATCAAAGAATACTTCATATTTTTAAATTTTTTCTAGGATATTTGGATATTGTTCGCACAAAAAAACTAAAATTCCGATTAAAAACTGGTAGGTCGAAATATAATACGACAAGTTTCATAAAAATCGGTGGAGCCGTTTGGGAGGAGTTCACACACATAGGCCATGACATATTTATTCATATATATTAGATAAATATGCATGCAAAATAAAAATAATGGAATAAATAAATAATACTAATGACATAATAAATGACATTAAATTTAATAGAATCACAAATATTTACTTTAATAAAAAGAACATACAAAAGACGTGCCAAGTACTGTCGGACAAAACAATTAGCTGATGGTCGTAGTGATGCAGTAGTAGAGGTTTAAAGAAAAGTAGTCAATAAGGAAATAAAGACATTATAAACATGTTCAAAGAGTCAGTCAATTGAAGGAAAAAACGAGGGGGAACGTTGTGAGTTGCTGCGGACACCGCAACTCTACATTTATACCCGATACTTAGTCAGTAAGGCTCTCCTCCGGCAGACGCAGCTAATATTAAGCGACACGACAAAGAGTGCGTGCGAGAGAGACAGAAAATCAGTCTGAGTGTGAAGTCGGGCGCTGCGTAGCCACTGCAAATTGATTTCTTGCTTTTGGCTATACAAATTATCCGATCTGATCCAGATTCAGCAACCGGATAGATATGGTTATTCTCTATGATTGTGCGTTTTTAGTTTTCTCGAATCTACAATATTGTGGATGCAACAGATTTTCGTCCTTTGTGGGGGCGCCTAGTGCTCAAAGACTATAAGAGCTAAAGCAACGATGTTTTGGATCCAGACTTCTGTGATATGTCACTGCTACAAGAATATTTCAAAACTTCGCTCCACCCACTTCCGCCCCCATAAAGGACAAAAATCTGTGGCATCCGCAATTTTAAAGATACGAAAAAACTAAAAACGCAGAAGCGTAGAGGATGACTATATGTTCTCGAGTGTAAAATCTAAACCAGATCGTATAATTAATATAGCCAGAATCAAGAAAACAATTTCATTCTTTCTCGCTCTGTCTCTCTCTTTGAAAAACAAAATAATCAACCATTTTGTATCTGCTCTTTATCCAACTGATATTGATTTTAATTTAAGTTTGAGCTATGCAAACGATTGCAAGGGAATGAACATGAGATACATACGTACATCAGTACAGCAGTACGTTGCCGACTTTATAGATGTCAAATGCAATTGGATGGATTGGATTGGATTGCAATTGGATTTTGATGGATCTTGAGAGGATGGCACCGGATAGCGAACCCGCAAACATCGCCATCATAATAATTTTCCTAAGTGATATCACACTGGAACATGTGTATGTGCATATGTCAAATTTCTGCAACGCTATATTCGGATCCCTTAAATTGATCCCTTACAGATCTCTGTGACGTCTACAATTTTGAACATACAAGACAACCGAATGCTGCCTAGAATGCTTTTATCTTTGAACTGCAAACGACTATTTCGAATGCGACAGTTTTCGGAAATATTAAACGATTTAACCTCTTTTAAACAAAAACATTAGTTATTTACAATATTTTCATTTTTATTAAGTTATTTTCAATTATGAACTCGTGATCGAACAATAATAAAAGACTTGCATTTACCTTTATGGAAATGTGTATACTTTCAGATAAGCTTAAAACATATTAATACATATGGCATATACGTGAGTATTTCAGGGTGGGTTTACAGTTTTTTTTTTCCATTTATGTATGTACAGATACTCATACGTATGTAAATTGTAGATTGTAGGATGTTTTTTTTTACTTATGTGAGATTATTTCGATGGCCGGTGGAGGGGTAGTGTTCGATTTTTCCCTGGACGCCTCCAGACTAGCACGTCGAGCTGCGGCCGCCATATATGTCCCATAATATCTACTCAGTATGTGTGGATCAACATGGTTGAGTTCTATGTATGCCTTAGGAATTGCTACTGTCAGATGTGATGTTGAATTTAACCTTGCATTGGGTGTACTTGTGATGGCGGATGTAGCAGTGGGACATTCCTCCAATGAGTTAGATTCCTCATGTTGGCTACTACTGCTGCCCAAAGATCTTGCTGCCGAACTGGAAATGGAGTAGTTATGCGGCTCAAGATCTTCAGGATCAGGGTCGGCATCGAAAGATGAACGCCTGCCATCGCTTAGGTACGAATTATTGTCATCGACAGAGAACACTTGTTTCATTACCTCTGTTGTTTTTCCGGGCTCATCCGCATCCGGGTCGAGATCGGGATCAGGATCATTGCTATCATCCACCACATCAACATTAACTTCAACGTCGATATCTGCGTCAATATCAGTATCAGCAACTGGTTGCTCCAATCCCACAACCACCTCACGGTGTATGGTTTGCTTTGTAATGACCGTATGTTGAGTTGTTGTCCGAGTAGCAGTAGCTGCATTAGCCGCTGGCGAAGATTCCTGATCTTCAGATACGATATCAACGATTTGAACATCAGGGGCCAGTAACGAGGCTACGTCGAACTGACGCTTTCGTGTTTGCGAATACATGTTTGCTATTGTTGTCGTTGTCGTAGAGTTAATATACGCAATATGTTGATGTGCTTGTTGAATTGATGGTTCTAGGCAATTGGGCTGCCGCTGTAACGTTTGTACCGGATGTGATACGGAATAATGTGGCGAAGCTGTGTCTGAATTTCGATTGAAGAACTGCCCGATATAGTTTTGGTGATACGGATAACTAAGGGCGGCCAATTGTATTGTAGCTTGAGAGCTCGGCGGTGGAGGTGTTGTAAGATCTAACGGTGGGGGACTGGGAGAATCAGTGCTGTCATCTACTGACAGACCCATATGCTTTCGCACCTTGCGCTGGGCCTTACGGCGCCGAAAATCACCCTTGCGAAAATCATCCATGTTGGCCGGATGTATTGCCCAGTAATGTCCTTTGCCATTTGCGCTGCGTCCCGATTTAATAAAGCAATCATTCAGTGATAGATTATGCCTGATAGAATTTCTCCAACCAGGCCCACGGCTTCTAAAATACGAATAGTTATCCAAAATGTATTGGTAAATGTCTGAGAGGACCAACTTCATCTCCGTTGAGCTGAGAATTGCCATTGCTATGAGCCCAATATAGCTGTGTTGTGGCTTAGGCTCCTCTGGTTGAAATATGCGCTGCGACTGGGGAAACAGGGAGATGGTCGAAAGCGCAGTCATTCGATTGACACCTGTACCGGTGCTCTGGGCTGCGTACGGATTCATATGCATCCAAGGCGTACTAGCCCCTCCAGCTGTCCCATATTGCGGACAACGGAATCGTTCAATATTCAAGGCATAATTGTAGAGCTGCAATCGGTACTGCTCTAGTGCCATGGTTGTCGCTTGAGCATTTCTAGAGGAGTTAGTGGGATAAATTCCAGCCGTAAGTGGTTTAGGCATGTGTCCGTTGTCAGTAGCACGGTCCCGTTCCTGATCGGGTGTGTTCGACCGCGATGCAGCCAAATCAGTGTGTGCCATTTTTTTCGTGATTTAATCCTAAGAACAGCCAGGTTATCACTTTCATTTCATAATTTCCTTATGAGCATCAGATGCAGCTGGAATAAATAAACAAACAAAAATATCTTGTAAAGCTAAAGGTATTATCTATATAGATTAATATGTACATAGTAGCTGCCCTTTTCTCAATTACACTCCTTCACAGTTTGATCAAGAGAGCATTTAAGAAAAAAAAAAAAAGGTTTTTTGTTGTTGTTAAAAAAATTAGATTAGCAAGTGCATAGTATAGTAGCTTGCCTGTTTTTTTGTTTTTTAATATTCTCCTAAATTGTCTATGTATGCACGTATGACTACTTGTATGTACATATGAATGTAAATCATTTTTGGGATATATGATATTCCGTATTCCGATCTTGGCGGTACCATACTGTGTTTAGAAAAAATTGGTGCAACGCAGAACAGTGTGTATAGGGACAGTAAGATAATGTGCATTCCGAGGTACTAGATAGTTTAGCGACAAAACAGAAAAAACCCTTCATCATAATCAAGTTCATGGGTGTATACCAATACGGTCATAGCTATCCTACAGCAGAAAAATGGTCATAATTTGATCTGCTAATTTGGTAAAATAATTTGAGAGGCTATAATAATGTCATCAAAGATAGTCCCCTCAGTGGTCGCCTATATATTCAAAGATACATTGTTTGCCGTTGTGGTCGTAGAAATGTAATATTGTATATTGAGATATGCATGATTCCGAAATAAATTAATAAATAATCCGCAATGGAATAATTTCTATAAATCTAAATACAATATTAGCGCTTTAAGATTGTTTTATAATATTTTTCAAAAAATTTACTCCAAGCTAAAGAGTTATAGGGGTAAATTAACTGTCCAGATATATTCTCGATATGTATATCGTTCTCAAATTTATAAAACCGAGACAAAATTCAGCTTTACCTGTTTTTCGACTGCAAGCCACACACTTTGCGTCTGTTGGACCCCATGACCCCATGCTTCCGTGCAATACGATGTTTTGATCTTCGGTATTTATGTTAATGAGTGCTCCACTTGACGCCACTTTTGAAGTGCTGAGCCGTTTTTCTCAATTTCAAGTTTGATATAGCAAAAACACTCTTGGGATTTCAAGTACACGATACGAGTACGAGTATGTATGTAATTTCGAAATGAGACCGCCGTGCTTTACTGAACGGAAAAATGGACTGGGCAAGGTGTGGCACACGTAAGCATATGTAAGTCTTTTTTATACCTTTGCCGAGGCTAATATCTAATTTTAATCGTTTCCGAAATGCAGAATGTAGATTTTTAGAGTCTCGGAAGCTAAAAGTTCTACAGTATAATTCTGTAGAACTACAAAATTGTCATGCTTCAGGCAAAACTTAGAAAAGGCAATTTTATGTATGTACATGTTTATTGCATAATGAAGAATAAGCTGATAAAATACATAATTGGCTGTTATAAGAATATAGTATCTAGAGCTTAGGACCCCGAATTTTTCCTATATTTTGTCTATAGTCTTGTAGATCAGATCTTTTTTGAACAGCAGAAAGCAATTTCGACACCATGATATTCTCTTATTAGATCAATTCTTCATTTTTAGCGCTGTCCATTTAAAATCAGATTCACAAATCGATTACATATTTCATTTAATTTATAAACTAATTAATAAACTAAGCGACTACACTACTTATAACATTTTTAAAATTTTACCAAATGGTCAGATTAGATCAGTCCTTTGGAAACTGCTATAATTATAATTTCACTATTTTTATTTAACTGGAAATGATTTAAGTTAACAATCTGATTATCGATTGCAAACATTCGCACAAGTGCCCAGGTCGAACTGAACACTTTTCTCAGTTTTTTTTCTTCTCGTATACTATATGTATACGAGAATACACCTGAATACAGAATGGATGCTGGCTGGTATTTTTAAGCACTTGCCAGTACACACAGAATATGTAATTGTCCGCGAAAAAAACGAACACAGCACGAAGAGCGCAGTCAAAAACAAGAGACCTTAAGTACGTGTGGTCGACGCGGGACTTGGACTGTTTCTGATTCTGGCCAAAATGGCTGAGGGTTCAAGGCATAAGGGTGGTTAGCAGTAACGGTACAGATAGAACCAAACGGCACGCCCAGTTCCACGGTTTCTCGATTTTCATTGGCTCATGTGCTGCCATTACGAAGTGCGTGCGCAGACCTGCTCTTTTTATCCAATGGGCGTAATAGTGTCGTCTCTGTTACCCATTTGCAAAACACGAACAAAGATTTTCCAAAATACTTATTCGACTGCTTTGTACTAGCATTTTAATCTATATAAATTCTCCACGGATCGGGCACACTGCTATTGAGCTTTAATTCTTTAGAATAGGAACTCCCGTTGTTACAAATATAGAGCCTAATTATATACATATGTACATATTTGTCGTGGGGAAAATCAGTCAAAGAGCTTCTGAATTACTTATTTAGCTATAAACCGCTTTGAATGTTTCCCTTTAACTGTTATGTTTTTATACTTCTCCTCATTATGAAAAAAGAGTTAATGGGACCGTACATATGTGTTGTTATAAAAATTTTCCTATAAATTATCCTACAGCAGTGGTGTTATGGTATGAATCGTATGAATGCGATGAAGGCGGTGCTGGTAAGAAAATTTGTTGAATTCCAAATTTGGTGGCTTGATGACGACATCAATCACACAAATCAGCTTGTCTTTCTTTCTCATATCCGATTTTTTCGACCGATCCTTCTCTTTTCAAACAACCACACTGATGGATGTGGCCGTGGCCACTTTACGATTATTAGGTCTTAGAGATTATTTCTCGATTTAGAAAAATTAAATTTATTTCTCTGCGGATTATCAAATTAGTGCATTGCAAACAATCTATAATAGCCCCATACTTGTCAAAAAAACGACAATACACATATCGTTCTTTAATTAGGATTAACTTAAAAATTTTGTCACTTACAATAAATGAATAACATTTCAATGGCAATGTCTGACTGAATTTCTGCATTTCTTGAAAAGGACAAAAGACATACATAAGTGCTATTTCTGATATTTAATAGAAAATCTTTTCGACTCTTGAGAAAACATTACACCTTCGGGCTGCAAATCGTGCTAGAAAAATAAGTGTAAAATCCTAAACCCATTTTGTCAGCCGATTGCCAGCAATGCGATTAAGATTTGCAAAATAATCCCTTTTGTCGTTCACAACTACGTTCTCATCTTACCATGAATAGAGGATCTTTGCCTTTTCAAAATTTGGAGAAAACCTGAACATTTTTTTCGAATCATTATTATTATTTGTTTACCACACTTTCTTTTGAAAATTTTAAGAGATTACAATAGGATATTTCAGATTATGTGTTTCTAAGGAACTCCAGCCTAATCGAAGCGAAACCACTTACCGTTGTCCTTGGGTCTATGCGGATCATAGCATATGATGTTCTCTCCGTTCTTGCTTAAAACTATAATGTACATAAGTATACGTTATATGTTAATACATATACCATACGAAAATATTTTGTTATACGGTTACAAACATTTTAATTGAGATCAGCATTTAAATATATGTACATACAGCTACATACAGCTTTGCACATACACATATCATAAACGATTTTCGACTTTTCCTAGTATTATTATTATTATTGCGATATGTAGCTTTGCATAGCGAGAAAATTAAAAATGCACAATCACAGAGAATGACCATATTTACCAGATTGCCGCATCTGGATGAGATCGGATAATTACTATGTGTAACCAAAAGGAACAAATCAATTTGCAGCGGATACAAAACCCCGTTCACGCGCTGACTTATTTTCTGACTCTCTCTTACACACTCTGACTGAGTATCGGATATAAATGTAGAGTAGCGGACCAAGCTGCGACTCACAACGTTCCCACTCGTTTAAAACTAGGTATAGCATACACAAGCCATATAAAACTCAGCAGCCGTATCTCTAAGGGGAAAACATTAAGATTTTCAAAAAATTAAGAAAGAAACCCGTACCATAAAAACATATTATTCATTAAACATTTTCGGTGACCAAAATCTATCAGAAGAGTTTGATTTGGTGCCAGGGCATTATTGGCTATTTCACCAAAAAATTAAAATTTTCCGTTGGAATGAAATTAATTCCTAAAGATTGAAGTATTTAAAAAAAATATCTTTGTATCCATCTGTCGTGGCGAGTCTTTGATTTTTCGTCCATATTAATGATTTACTCATTATTCCAACATTGACCTCTAGTTTTTTATTTCCGGTCCGTTTAAGCTACAAGGTGTTCGGGTAGGATTTATGCACCTGCACAGAATTGCAAAGTTCAATACAACTACATAGGTGCAAGAAACTTAAGTTATGTGAAAAAACTGTAAAAAATAATAGATTTTAAATTTTTTTAAATTAAACTAATTTCTGAAAAAAAAAAATTATTAAACAATTCTTACGCTCCAAATCTATCAAAAGAGTTGGTTTGGTTCCCAGCGTCGAAAAAATGTTGAATTTTCTTGAGTAGTGTAATCAGTTTCATCTTAAACTCAATAGGAAAACACCTAGCAATGTTAACCAGCTATTCCAATAAATTAGTTGATCAAAACTATAGCATAGCGAAGTAGAAATCGTAATGCGTGCAAATTGATTGATAATCACCGGTCCCCAAGGAATTTATTTCGTGAAGTCTTAACTGACAACAGAATACAATACACACAGCACAGACATATTAACGAATAAAATAAGGTTCAAGGGTAGTTGCGTAGCTTGCTCATTTTTTTCAGACGAATGTGCAAACAAGAGTACCCAAAGCTCGCCGTCGGGAAATTGTTAAACGGTATTTAAACATAACAAGCAGCACCAGCGCTGGGACCGGGACAAAGGCGGGCTAATCCCAAGACGCACGCACACAACAGGAAGCAACCACAAAAATTTGTTATTTCAACAGTAACAGAGCACCAGACCAGCGACATCAGTCATGCAAGGATAACACCAACAATA